AGGCTCAGGGGAAAAGGAACACCAGGAGACCTGAGTGTGTGTGTGTGTGGTGGGTGGGGGAGGCTGAATTTAAAGCTTGGTTTCCCCAAAAAAGAGCCCAAAAATGGGCTAAATGCAGCACTCTGCAGCTTTCTGGAGAGAAGGCCAATGCTCCTACAGCATCGCCATGAACCTGCCAAGGAAAGATCAGAGAGAAACCTGCTGTGCCGTCATCACACAACACACTCTTGCACACAATGGAAAATATGCTTCAGATTAAAGCAGGGCAAATTAGAGAGGGAGTAAGGGGAAAAAAGTAGAGAGGTCAGAGATGAAGCCAATCAAAAGCAAAAAGCAACATGAAAGTGTATCCAGATTGCTGTTGGACACATCAAACACTTTGTGGTATTTTCTAGATATTTGGTCACTAAGCTTTATGATATAAGCCATAAGCTCTGTGATCATAGGTGTGTATATTGAATATTTAACAACACGGCCAATCAGATTTTAGGACAAGAACTATCTGTTTTATAATGTAAAGTAACTCTTTCATAAAGCCGTAGAACTTACAAGGCACTAGGACACTGAGCTGATCGTAAAGGTTAGGTGAAATGAGTAAGAGGAGATCACTGCAATGTAATTCAGTCGGTGTGAACTGTGTGACCGGTCGTTATATGTACAGAGCTGGAAGAGTCAAAACTACTGATGAAAGTTACTAAGAAAAGGAAATAGATGTACAACCAACTTCTAAGACTGAACTTTGGAATCCTGGAAAAATATCCCTGCAGATTTCTTTAAAAAGATGAAAACAAGTCATCTGAAAGGAGTGGAAGCTGTAATAAAGGCCAAAGGTGGACTCACTAAACACTGAAAAAAGTTTCTGTGTAATTTTCTGTTAAACATGTTCTCTGATTTTTTTAATGACACTGAAAATGAGCAATTTTGAGCTTAATCATATGAAAGGGTGCTTCCCAACTTCTCTACAGCACTGCACAATGTAATAACAAGTGATAAAGGTTAATTAAAAAGTTACATATGTAATTAGCAATGTAAAGCTTTATTGTTTTTTTCATTACCATGCTGAATGTGCATATATGCACTGATAAGATGCTTTGTGCTCATGTTGTGTGTTCTGCCTGAATGAACTGTAGTGCGCTGTGTATAAACTGCATTGTTTTATGCTGGGTGAATGGACTGTGTGTAGGGGGTAAACACTTTAGTGTATGAGCAGTAGTGAATGCGGGCCTCCACAGGATGGGTGCTCTCTGCCCCTCCTCCTCCTCCCAGACTGTCCTGCCTCTCAAGAGACAAAAAACACACTAACATCAAAGTCTCGCTGTCATCCCACAAGAATTTCTAAGTGCCCCCATCCCTCCTCGAGAACACCAACCAGCCTGGAATTTTAAGTGGATTTTACCATCTTTTGGAAGCTTTGAGAATGGGGTTTGGAGGAGAACGGATGGCTCATTGTGACCCTTTAAACAAACTGGGACCACACTCAGACTCATCACAGAGCTTTCACAAATGCGCACACACTCACTCACACTCATTCTCTCCCTCTTTCCCTCCATTTTGAACAGACGTGAGGTTTCTCTCATCTGGCCAAGGTAAATCCCAACACAAAAGGTTGATCTTTGGTAGAACTATGTGAATACGGCTGTGGGTGGCAGAGAAAAATTTACGAATTTCACCTCAGTAATACAGTCTAGTCATTTAATGTATCATTAGATAACTGCTATACAACTGACAGTGATCTGAAAGCAGAATTCAGGAGCAAACAGAAGCCTCCAGCCCCCAATCTGTATTTTCAACCCAAGCTTTTTGGGTCTTTGGGTGCTTATCTCATTCACTAAAGCTGTTCAGTAAAGCCATAATATCATTCATAAACCATTTTCCTCACTTTGATTTATTAAAAAGTACTTAATTACACTGTTAAAAAGATTCTTCAAGGCTTCTTTACTAAAGAAAAGGGTTCTACATAGAACCATGAACACTCAAAGAACCCTTTGCATGATAAAAGGGTTCTTTGCATTGTAAAATTGTTTTTCATATTGGTGGAAAATATGCTGTATATGGTTCTATACAGAACCTTTTTGAAAAGGATTCTATATAGCACCAAAAAGGGTTCTGCTATTGTTGCAATGTCAAGCTTGGATAACAACAGAAGAGCCCTTTTTGATGCTATATAGATCCATATGCAATACACTTTCCACCAATCTGAAGAACATTTTCATGACGCAAAGAACCCTTTAATCATGCAAAGGGTTCTTTGAGTGCTCATGGTTTTCTTTCGGATCTTTTGTGAACGTGATTTTAGGGAGAACATCTGGCTCACTGTGGCCTTTTATACAGGGCCCACACTTGCACTCATAGACATTTTTTCTCTCTAATTTGAACAGATATGTGTTTTCTCATCTGCCCTGACATACAAGGTTGCTCTTTAGTGTACGAATGTGGATACAATTATGGGTGCCAGCAGAAGTGGGTAAAGAAGCCCAAGCGCATACTGGAGTAAAAGTAATGTTACTTCTGTGAAATAATCACTCAAGTAAAAGAAAAACTATCAACTAGAAAAAAAACTTGGCTAAAACTAGAAAAATACCAGGTCAAAAGCTACTTAAGTGCTGAGTAACTTACAGAACCGCAGTGAAACCTCTTAGGACATCCAGCACCTGTCAGCATAGGAACCAATGTTTGTTTTTCTTCTCTTTTTGTTGTGCCTTTGGTCTTAAACAAAATGATGAAGATCCAAAGTCAGAGATGCAGGACAGAAAAAGTCCAGGTAGAAATCTAATAAAGTTTTGACTTAAATGTTTTTTTTGGTTTTTTTTTAAAAATGAAGTCAATGACTCCTCATTTTCACTTAATGTGACAATACATCCGTTTTCTGGCTAAATAGGTTGTGAAGAGGATCAAAAACAGATAAATTATTAGATTATTCTTACAATTTATGTTTTTAATATCAGTACATTTTGTGTTAATGTACTTTTGAGCATATCAAAATAGGTTAAATAAAAAGTTAATACAACTTTCACAATGAAGTGCCAAAAGTCATGGGATAGCAGTATGTAAATTGATTATGAATTGGTGTTACTTCAAGGCACAGCTTGGGGACGCCCACACCTGTATAACTCACTGCAAGATGACGTGAACTATCAGAGTTCAAACAAGACATGATGGTGGGTGCCAGATGGATGGGACGTTCCATTTCCGAAGTTGTGTGGGTATTTAACATTCCTCGATCCATGTGTGTACCTGGAATACATCATAGTAGGCATTACCACCCACAGTGGACAGCGCAGTGGCCGCCCACGGGTGCTTAAGGATCGTGACCGGCGGTGTCTAGCTAGAATTGTTTGTCACATCTAGGCCCCACATGCATATCCCGCAGGTCTGTGCAGCGTTCTTTAGCTTCCATGGCATACGAGACCCACCAGATAGCCTCTGTTAACACCACGACACCAGACACAGGACCTCACCTGGGCTCGTGAGGTTGCTAACTGGACTGGCAACATGTCGCGTGGTCCGATAAGTCACGGTACCAATAATTTTGGGCTGATGGTACAGTTAGTGAGTGATGCAGACGATGTGAAGGCATTGACCCCAGTTACCAACAAGGTACTGCGCAGGCTGGTAGTGGTTCTATACTGGTGTGGAGTGTATTCTCATGGGTTGGGTCCACTGGCCCATCTAAACATGTCATTGACCAGTGACCGTTACATTTCACTGCTTGGTGACCATTTGCAGCCCTTCATGGACCTCATGTACCCCCACCATGATTGGATACTCCAGCAGGATAATGCACTGTGCTATCAGGCCCAAGTTGTCTACAATTGGTTTGAGGAGCATTCTGGAGAGTTCTGACAAATGGTGTGGCCTGCATGTACATGAGCCCAATTGAGCATTTATGGGATGTGGTGGAGAGGTCCATTCGCACCCGAGACCCTGCACCTACAAATACCACATAGCTGTGGGTGGCTATTCAGACAGCATGGATCAACATCCCTCCAGACGTCTTCCGTCCACTTGTGGAATTGATGCCACATCAAGTTGCTGCACTTCACGGGGCTAGAGGGGGCCCTACATACACTAATTCATGTCCTATGACTTTTGGCACTTCAGTGTAGTTAGTAATATTGGAGATAGAACTTCAGTGGGTGTCTAAACAATACATAGAAAAAAGTGGCAAAAAGTGTTCTTTGATTCATAATAACAGTGGAACCACTTTTTGGTGCAATATAGAGCCATTTTAAAGGGGTCCTTTAAAGAACCATGTAGAACAGTTCTTTCCATCATAGAGAAGATCCATTCGACCATGCAAAGACAAGCATTCAAATGGTTCCTTGAGTGTTTATGGTTCGATAAGGAACCCCTGCTGTTCTTAAGAGTGTCCTTTTTCAATTAATGTCTTTATGCCTTATTAAGTCTTATTATGGTCAAGGCTTAATTATCTCATTCCCACGCCTTATTAAGACGTGGCCACGACTTAACTGGCTCATTCCCACACCTTACTAATTCGTGGCATTATTTTTATTTATACGGGATGTGACCAGCAGGGCTCTGTAAAGGCGTGGGAATGAGATCATGCTTTCTTTAGCTGTGGTCAAGACTTAATTATCTCATTCCCACACCTTAGTAAGCGATGGCCATGCATTAGGATCTTGTTCCCACGCCTTACTAAGTCGTTGCCACGCATTACGATCTCGTTCCTAGACGTCAGTACAGCGTGGACACGCATTATTTTTATTTATGAGGGATGTCACGAGCAGGGCTCTGTCATTTTAAAAAAGGTTCTATATATATCGTCTTTACTAAAGAACCCGTGAAGATCTTTTTTAAATGTGTAGTCCTAACAATGGTTCCTTACATGACTGCCGTACGACTCTCTCTCTCTCTCTCTCTCTCTCTCTCTCTCTCATAATTCCTCTCCACACCTTTCACCACACATTACTTATCGCCTGTGCCAATCGCTCCCCCTGGTGTCCAAAACACAATAGCACACACGTCACTGAAAGCTTTTTCTTTCGCATCGCCAGAAACACAAATGGCTGACCAGGAAGAGCTGCAGCCACTCAAATCCCTGCATTCACACCACCAAACTTTCATCGACTTCGTCAACAGATCCAGCGGCCAGGCGAGGGCATGGTGGCTGGACTTCTCAGGAGCCCCGGTCTCTTACGGCGACATAACACCCGGCCATACCCTCAAAATGAACACATTTCTCAGTGAGTGGAGCGAGAAGCAGAAAGCCAGAACCACTGGGTTACTTCTACACAGTTACGGGCTGCGAAATGCAAATGAAGCGATGTCTCATTAGCTTGTTATTCGGACAAACTAGGCTAAAGCTAATTTGTGTTTTTGTTCTCCCTCCTAGCACATCCGTGGATTTTTAGAGCGTCAGACGGATCAAGACTGCTCGCAAACTTCCGTGAGGTTTATTTCCCCACCCCTGCTGAGTATGGAGATGATGGCTACCCGCTGTTTCACACCGTAGTTGTCACCACTCCAGGTACTCAGCACTTCATCCCGGATGACTTTGCTATGCTCTGTGATTTAAGATTTAAAGGGGAATTTCACTCATTTTTCAAAATGTCTGCATAATTAAATCGCCAAGTGAGAATTGTTCACAATGGTGGTGATAGGAACCAGACGTCTGAAGCTTTTAATGCATCTCACAAAGGTGTTACATGATATGGTTACAAATATGCTGCCTGATGTCTAAGATATTGTTATACGATAGTTTTGGGATAAAGTTTTGGCCTAAAGCATGTTTAAAATGTATTTTATAATGGACAGGTGCATGCAGGTACATACTTTTGTCCAGATTTACCTCTATTTTACCATTATCAACATTACATATAAAAACACAGATGACAAGGTTTTACTGGTCATTTTGGATAGTAAATAAAATGGCTATATTTGTGTTGTAGACATCACCACCTGTTTCTCTAGAATGAGGCAATTCACATCAAACTACATTAAACTCAACAATTCTCACACACACAACATTTTTTAAGCTGCTTATCCTTCTGGGTTGCGGGGGGAGCTGGAACCTATCCCAGCCCTTCTTTTGTATATTTAAAAAACAATTGTGCAACTACGCTTCAATGTTTTTCCCCTACTGTATTTTTGTTCTTGCCACAGTTTACACTTTACAGGAATGCTGTTTGAAACTGATCCAAAAATTGGTGAGAAAAAAAGACGTTGACAAACTGGAGATTCCCGAGTTTCTAAGGAAAGACATCCGCCTCTCTCCAGATTTGCTGCGAGAAATTCAGATGCTGACAAGAAGAGCTGATTCTGGTTCTTATTAGTGCAGTGAAACCTGAAGACAAAGCAAAGCTCTCCTTGGGTTTATAAAATACTTTTTCTTTACAGTCGACATAATTATTATTATAATTATTCAGTCAGAAATTACCTCCAGAGCATTTGTATCCTTGTACACTGTATGTCTAAAAGTTTGTAGACACTTTCTTATCCAGGTTTCTTCTGAAATAAAGAGTGTAAATAAGAGGTCTGTCCCCACTTTGCTGCAGTAACAGCCTCTACTCTTTGGAGAAGGCTTTATACTAGATGTGAGGACTTGATCAAGCATTAGTGAGGTCAGCTACTGATGTTGGCTGATTAGTTCTGGATCACAAACACCACTACATGTCATTCCAAAGGTATGGGATGGAGCTCCACCACTGCACAGAAACACAGTCTCACTGCTCCACACTCCAATGCTAGGAGGCTTTATACCCCTCTAGCTGATGCTTGGCATTAGGCATCGCAAGCTTAGGCTCATGTGAGGCTCTGCACTTGAATTCACTCATTAGAAGGAGTGTCTACAGCTGTTTGGACATACACTGTATGTTTCTGGTTCACTACAACAAGCTGCTTACTGTAGACTGTTAGAATGGCTGGCACAGAATTACTACACACACATCATTTTAATCTGCATTTATTACTCCCAGTTGATTATAACACAGTAAGTAATTTCTCTTTTGAACAGTGACATTTTCCCCACTGAGATGCATTTCCCCATTACAATAAATATTGCACTTGCGGTCCTAGAAATAAATTAAAATCAAAGCACACAGAGGTCCCTTTCAAGGATATTCAAAACATAATATTAAAAACCTGATATACACATGAAGTGGCACTGCACAACTACTTTCAATGTTATTTTTCAGCATTCTGTTCTATGTAACTGACAGGTTTGCTAAACAGCCCAGGCATGAGGGAGCAGGGGACGGGGTTGTGATGACTGTAATTAAACACAGCAATAACTTGGAAAGCGTTTTCATTATAGTTTACAATGCAAATTGAATTGTTGTAAAGAATGCCAATGTAGGTTTACTGCTACACAAGTCATTAAACGTTATGAGACACTTGTAATGAAATATGCAAATTCCACATGTTTTGGTAACACTGTAGCTTTCCTGAACACAGTTTTCTTTCTTAAAATAGACTAATTAGTGCCTTTTTTTTTTTTTACTTCTATTACGATTTTCATTTATAATGGACATGAATGTGCACTGTCCCACTGATAAACAAAGTCCGCCTCTTAATCAGTCAAGAGTGTTCCCAAATTACCAACACTAAAACAATAATGATAGCTACTGAACACAACTTATTATAAACACCTCCACATGATAAAGACCTGAAAACAGAAGCAAGGAAATATTTTTGAGTTGTCATATACAATCATAACTGATGTGCTGCACTGAGATCTGTATATTCATCTTATCATGCTTTGAGGTGAGATCAAAGTATTAGTACATTATAGTTATAACTACGCAGAAAAATCCATTTCTATTCATACTGTTGCACTTGAAGGTAATACATTTATACGCGCAAGAACAGTGACTCTTGGCTTTAAGATTAAAGACTACATATAGCAGGGGTGGAGAACTCCAGTCCTGAAGGGCCAGATTCCTTCACAGTTTAGAGAATTTCCTGCTCAAACACACCTGATTCAACTCAACAGTTAATTGCCAATGTTGGAATGTTACAGCAGGAAAATGTTAGAGAGGTGTTGCACTATTTAAAATACTCAGTGATAATAGCCATCATGATTTATTTCCTTCGTAAAACAATTGTATGCATGTGTAGCATATGAACAAAACCTCTCCAGATGGCTGGATTCAGAAACAATGGAATCGGTTGCTAGTTCACAAATGGCTGATGCATGTCTAATTTTAGTAACAACATGGCAATACTCTGAAATCACCTGTGGATCTACAGAAGTTTAGCTCAAGCAGAAGGACATGCAGACTCTTAATTCTTCTTCATGGACTCGAGGATGCGCAGGATGTGAAGGAAAAGGTTGATGATGTCCAGGTAGAGGTTGATGGAGGCCAGCACATGCTCCTCAGGCGACAATTTGTGCATTAGCACATGCGTGTCATAGATGATGAAGCCACAGAACAGCAGTGCACCAGCACTGGCAAACACCAGCTCCGCTGTGTCATTGTTGAAGAACAGCTATTCACAGTAGGAGAATTCAGTCATAAGCAATATATAAGTATAGAATGTTCTGTAATGTAATGCTCAATAACAACAATAGTACTGTGCATTATTATATCCATTACCAGGTTTTGTTATTACATAACTGTAAGGTTGAGTCGAACGGGGCTACTACTACCGAGAAAAATCTGGGTTCTGTGAATTATAGAAGGTAATTTGCTTCTGAATTACTACCTGGCATACTACAGACATTGCAATTTTTTTTAGATAATCACAAAATTTACAGCATCGCTCCTCGTAAAACTAATCTAGCTTCAGTAGGGTGATAGTCCATTTAGACAAGCCTGTATTATACTAAGAAAGATGTCTAGCTTTTCATTGTAAGCAGGACTGTGTTTTCTCAGTAAATGGTGCCCAAATGCACTTTGAGAAAACTATGGCTGGTTAGACACTTGAGATCACCCAGTTTGAGGTAATCTGTTTTAGACAGGGGAACCACTGAATCTGCACTCACCCTCAAAAAGCTTGCAATGATCAGGATCCACAGGGCAGCAAACAGCCTAGAAAATGACAGGGATTGTTAGTATGAGTGTCTGACAGCGGGGGGAGAAACAGTAAAAACTGTCAGACGTAAAGACAGAATTACCCAGCTCCAAGTTTGCTAAAGTCCCGCTTGGACTGGAAGGTGTAAGTAGTCAAACCAGCAAATACAGCAGATGTGAGGATGCAAGCCTGGAGCACCACTGAGTACTCATAAAAAGTCACTGAAAAAGAAGAGAAATGGAGTTAAATGTGACATGATGGGGAACGTGTAAAATCTCAAGCTTTCAATCTGACCTAAACTCATCACCATCATACAATGAGTGTGTCTGTTGCTTATACAATATATTGTTATGTTACTGAACCACAAGAGTGGAGTGATTGAATTCAATAGGTTTGTCACCCATAGTGTAACAGGAAGCTGAATACTATTTGTTTATAAGACGCACACTCACTGCACTGTGTGCTTGTTCAACAAGTGTCTAAAGACTGTATCTTTAAAACAAGAGACTGTATTCAGTGTTAAAAAGCAGGCCTCACTTACCAGCTGTGGCCACAGACACAGCCTCCAACAGAGTCTGCAACCACAAAGTAACAGTTTAAAATGACAGTGGTGGTATGGACACTACTTGAAAATTGATAAATTAATATCTGGTCTGAGGAATAATAATGGCATTCAAACCAACAAAAGTGCATACTTACAAATCCAAAAAGTAAATAGAGATTGACAGGGTGCTGGTGGCGGTAGACAGCTAAGGCTAAGAGTAAAACGAGGGATCCAATCGCTGACACCAATACCACAGAAGGACTGTGGAAACAAGGGATAAGAGACTACATAGGACATCAATCCATAAACATTCTGCTCAGTCTTTGCAATGCTTGGTAGTTACAGAGGAATTCCACTGATTTTTCAAGATTTCTTAATAATTAAATCATTAAGATATAAACAAAGCCATTCACAGTGGTTTGACCTGAAATGCACCATTCTAGGAAAAAAAAACTACAGAATCGGAACTGTTCACAGCAGACGTGATGAGAACAAGACGTCCAAAGCATTTAATGCCTCCAACCAGCTACAATCCAAGAAGCTATTAAATGAAATAGTTACAAATATGTTGCCTGATGCCTGAGACAGTGTTTCAGATTGTTTTGAAATTTTGAGAGAAGTCTGCAAAGAAAACTTTTAGCTTTACCACCGTTTTACCATAATTAGCATTACAAATCATATCTCAGAGGACACATTTAGGTTCACTGGTTATTTTGGACAGCAAATAAAACAGCTATATTTGCATTATATACATTGTGATCCCTGGTTCTTGTCACCACCACTGTAAAGACAATCTGAATCAATAAGTTACTCTGCAATGTACCATTTGACATCAAACCACTTTGAATGAATATGTACAGTGATTGAATTATCCATGAATCTTGGAAAATTGCGTGGAATTCCCCTTAAAGGTCTCTGCCATAGTACTCATGACTGTACTGCCAAATGCCGCTGATGTGCTTTTACCTTGAATGAACAAAGTTTTTGATGGGCTCACAGAACATGAAGAGGGCAGACACAGCTGTGGTTACGATGATCTGCAGTGACAGGATGGTGTACACTTTCCGTAGGAAATCTTCAGAGGAATGAAAGAAAACATCAGTAGGTCAATTCACAAACGGCTAAAAAGAAATGTCCTCGTATACGTACAGGTGTGGTTATCATACTGGCTGATGACACCATGTTTAAAGTTCCCTATCCATTTTAACACGTAGCCAAAGAAGTACTACGACACGTTCATGCTAATACACACTGAAATAACGTCAGTTAAGTTACTCACTCACAGTCGTAAAGATCTTAAATAAAAGTGCACTGCCCTGCTTTAGATAAGTTGGCAGGACAGATGTAAATAAAGTTAGCCCGCTAATGAGCTAAAAACAACCCAGTCGCTAACGTTAGCTTGCTAACGCTAAGTTAGCTAAGCTTTCTAGAGCTCTAGCTTAGCTAAACAAATATTCACCCACCCATACGGATTTGTACGCTTGCCGTTGCAACGTTGGTGCCATAATTAAAATCGTCCTCAATCGAAGAGCGAGGATATTTTTCTGGGTTCATGTTGGCTAAACGGTGGAGCTAACTTAGCCGAGAGCTAACGATTACTGCCTCCGTCAGCTTTCGGTTTCTTTCCAGGGTTGTAAGCTGGTGTCTGAATACAGATTAAAGCTTACTACTGCCACCTACTGCTGAACAGAGGATATTATGAGAGAGAGAGAGAGAGAGAGAGAAGAGAGAGAGAGAGAGAGAGAGAGAGAGAGAGAGAGTGTATATCGGTAGATACAGCAAATCTGTACACCTAAGGATTTACATATTTACACATACAATACACATATT